ATCTACTTGTGCCGCGTTTAGTCGGAAATCATCCTCGGCCATAACTAAACTGACTAGAGCTCGGCCGAGGCAAACCTTTGCATACTTTAATTTGTAAGCACTCGGCAACGAGGACACACCGATCTCTGCTCTCGGATCCCACACCATCATAGGGACCCGAGCAGCATCAACAACATGGCTTGGCAGCTCAACCGTACTTGAGATCTCGGGGATCTCTACCGACTCAAAACTCGAGAACCATTTCTCGACCGACTCCCGAGGCTGCCTAAAATTCATTGCCCTCTCTTCGTCATAGGTAAGAAGGACCGATCAACCAGTGGCTCCTTCTTCTTCTTCTCCTGTTGACCGACATCGTGCTTCTTCTTATACCGTCCCTCAACGATTGGGACACTTTCTGCATGCCTCTTCCTTTGTTGGGTCAACGGAACCTCTTGCTCCTCGACTGCTTCTCGGTCACCTTCATGCTCGTTAGAGACAACTTCTATAACTGGTGGGGCCTCTGGTTGAGCGACTTCGATGGCTGGTTCTACTCTAGACGAACCAATAACAGCAGTAGCTATAGCGGCAATCGAACCAGTCGCTACTATCGCCAACGGGTTTGGCTGTACAACTTCAATTGATGCCCCCGACGTCGCACCATTACCGACGTCGGCAATCTTCGGGTTCATGATTGGATTCTCCAAAAAGGCCTTCACAAGCTTCTTGCGACCCATTTCAGATAAACGCTGTTGCTGCTCTTACCGACTTTAGTTCGAAGCTCAAGATTTGGGCATTGTTGACGAAACTTCTTTGTGTCTTGGATGTTGCTAAAACCAAGAACACCGAGAAGCGGGTAGTACACTACATTGAAAATTAAACAAGTTAGAATTATTCGCGTGATTTTCCAACTTCAAGCAACGAATAAAGAATATACAATTAGAAAATACCTGGCTGAAAGAACGAATCCGACACACTAGAACAAAGGTTGGTTCCCTCCAACCGGGAGTTCTTCAGCACAAGTTTGAAGTTACGCTGCTCCTTTGTCAATTTGAACAGCTCGATAATTCTGCTCTTCAACACCGCACCAAGTTTTGGTTCCTTAGTTCTTTGGGATGCAAATAAAATTGTTGACCTATTAGTACAGAAAACAAAACAAGTCAGAATAGCTCGGTACGAAAAATATCAAAACACTTACAGTATGCAGAGTTAATTTCGATGGGTATGGACATCCCATCGATTAAAAGTTTGGTAAAATTTGGAGTCTGCCAATCTCCACCGACCCACAGCCACTACTCTTGAAACCCATAGAGAGAATCTGGAATCTCGGTGATCAAGTCACCAAATCTCAAACCACCCTGCGGCCTCCCTGAGCACGCATAACAGATTAGTGGGTCGGCCACTTACCTATCAGCGCATCGCCTGAAAGTAAAAAAGCTTCTCATCTCTTTCACACTTGGCATATCCCACCCCTTTTTCTTTAATAGCACCATAAGACCAATTATTCTCTTCTAAGTGTTTGGCGCTATTTAACACAAACCAAGGCCCCAATCCCTCAAGTAATCGGTAATCAATGCGGGGAGTGAAAAACGTAGTCCCGACCTCAGAGAATCAGCGAAAACTCCCACACATCCAGGTGGAGGACATGTAATTCTTTCTCTAGGATAAGATGCGAAAAGTCTCACGGTCGAGGGAACTTGAATTTTCTCTCGTAGAATTACGATACCGGCGTCAGTCAATATACTCGGTTCCCCCCGATTCTCGTCAATAGGTTCAGGCCACCGCCGAGCTAGCCGTCTCCAATATCCCTCTAAGGACATAGCGTTCGCCTCTACTTTCTTATCCTCATCAATGATATCTTTGTTCAAATTCAATCTTTTTACGAGAAGGGGATCCCATCAGTAGTACTCAAGAGGTAACTCTAAATCTTTATCATCAAATATCCTACTCTCTGAGATCGTACAACGACTACTAACCTCAGTTTGAGAAGTCACTGTTCCGAGAATAAGACAAAGAAAGAAAAATAGATGCTAAATTGACAAACATCAAGCGAAGAAACTAATTAGGGCAGACGCTTACCAAGAATATCGAAAGCCCTAAATTGCTGGAGACACAGAGGAATCGCACAAAATAAAAGTCGAAAAAAAAGTCGAAGTGGTGTGAGCGCAAAATATCAAAGCGAGAAATAATAGATTGAGAGAATTGAAGGTAAAAAGTTTTCGCACAGTCAAAACCGACAATAATTTATAGGTTTTGATTTATGACCGTTGGCTAAACACGGGATCGGCGCGTGTAACGGACGTGTTCCCAAATGGCGCAACGTTACAGTAATGATTAATACACGTGGGCTAGTCTCGAAATGCCATGTCGTTCCATGATTCTATTCGTTGGACCCATTAAATGCGGACGCGTCTTTTAAGAAATGCCACGCCAGCTCAGACGTTACACAACCATCAGGAAAATATGATGACAAAACCAAAGTGTTCTCATGTCGGTTTCTAAGTACAAAAGGAGTCGGTAAACAACCAAGTCGGAATTACTAAAGATATTAACGACATCAGCAGCCATTTCATGACGCTCAAATATCCACTAATGTCAGAGGGCCTCTCTGTTGATGACCGACTTGGTCTCATATGATTAGTTAAAGGCTAATCACCTCATCCCGTTAACAACCTTTCAGAAATAGCTGAACTTTGTTCAAGTCGGTACAGTTAGATAAATTACTGACTTCTAGACTAGGGGTGTTCACGGTCCGGATTGGTCCGGTTTTAGCCTACCATGACCAAACCGGACCTAACGGTTAACTTTTTTTCTTATCCATAACCGGACCGGTTTTATTTTTTAACCGACCACAATTCGGACCGCATTGGATGGTCCGGTTTGGCGGTTAATTGGTTAAATCCAAAATCCTTGTTTTGGGCCTTCAATTTTTATTTTTTTCATTTTGGGCTTAATTTTTAATTTTCAATTTTGGGCCCAAAAGAGATTATTTGGGCCTAAAAATTAAGAAAAACAACAATAATGAAATAAAAAATACACAATTCTTCCCATAAGCATAAAAATACACATTTCGTCCCATAAACATAAAAATACAAAAATGATGAAAATTAAATAATGCAAACTGAACCCAAGCAAGCATTCATTTTTTAGTCAGTTTATATACCTGAAATAATAAGAGCAAAGTATTCATAGTGAATGTATTGTATTTGTCGGCCATAGTGAATGGCTGAATGTATATATATATATATATGTATTTGTTATACTTTTTAATATTTACCGGTCTGGTCCGGTTAAACAGGCAGTTTACCCCAGGTAATCCGTTAACCGGATCGGTTATTCCGCATTTTTAAAAAAATTAACCACCGGATTTTTTAAGGCTTTTTTAACTGACCATTTAACCGATCCGCGGTCCGGATTGACGATTTTTTCCGGTTAAAACCGAACCGTGAACACCCCTATTCTAGACAGCCAAAAATAGAACTGACTATCTATCAGAACCCAAAGATCGACTTCACCGACATCACGATTATTTTACATTAAAGATTATCCATTCGTCCGACATCCGATGGGATCAAATATTCAAGCAGGAGGTGTTGTATACTTTCAATTGGACCATCAAAACAAGGAATAATCATTGATGTTCTCTTATTTCATCACACACCGCTTTATTGACGCTGCTCAACATTAAATGCGATCTTATCTGCCTCAGACAAAAGGACAAAAACAATCGTACTATAAATAGCAGAATTTATGATTGTACGGGGATCTTTTTCAACACATTGTACACGAACATGAAATGATCTCGGTCAAGAACAAATAACCGACTTCCTGTACTCTCGTGAAATTATCAATAATATACAATTTTACATTTATTTTTGTTTAAACACACCCTGCTGTTTGTTAATTTGAGTTGTTAATTTCATACAACAACAACACCAAAGATGATAACTTGGATAGCATCTATTAAGTAACATGCTTGAGGCTACTAACAAAAATAACGGATATATAACTCGAGACTGTGTATTGGAGTCGGATTGCATGATGACGTTGATGAAACTCAAGATACTGTTGAATTAACATATGTGGAGTACAACTTTGTTAACAAATATGGACCTGAGCTTAATTGACATTTAATAAGTATCCTTTCGTATATCATATGTCAATTAAGGTGCCTACGTGTAGCGTCCCATTTGTTCCGGATTATTTTGAAAGTTATTATTTATTTATTTATTTATTTTTATTTGTCCGAATAAATTTATTTATTTTATCTGTGCTCGTAATTTCCTTAATTGTTTGTTCTTATAGATAAATAAATAATGTGTGTATTTAATTACCTAAATATGTATCTGTTTTATTATTATTATTATTATTATTATTATTATTATTATTAAATAAGTATTATTGTATTATGTATTAGCCGGATTTAATTTTCTCCACGTCGAACCGAGCCTCGAATAATTTTCGAGTCGAGCCCGAGAGAACCGGCCGATTTTGATTATTTTTCCGTAGCCATTTTGGGATCTTTTTCTCTAGCCCATTTGTTCCGGAATAATTGGATATTGTTATTTGGCATTTATTTTATTTTCTAAATTAATTATTCGGGCTCAATAATTTTATTTCGATTATATGCTCGTAATTGCAAATTGTATTAAATTTAATAGCGAGCTGAATAGTATTATTATTTTAATTTTTGGTCGAACTGAATAATCGTTATTAATCTGGATTTCAAACCAAGCAAGCAACCAAGCCCGAACCGCGAGCATTCCCGGCCTCCTCATACCTGACCATTTTATCTCGACGGATTTGTTTTGCCTTTTCAAAATAATTTGAACTCCTTTAGAATTTAGATTCAATTAATTCCATGCTAAATTGGACAAGTACTCTACCAATCCTATTTTCTCTTCTTTTGCCGTGTCCTTAGAGTATTTTGAGTGTGGCTTTAGGATATGCTTTAAGTATTTTCTTTTATGTTTTGTTATTTTTTCAAATTCAAATAATACCATCTCATTTTGGTAAGTTTTGGGTCAATCTCCATCACTCCTTATAGTGGCCGTTTCTCTCCATTCATCAAAGGAAATTGATGCTAATAATCATGGTGATAAATCACCTTGAAGTCCATTGCAAGTTATAAGGCAAATTCACTTCAACTCTATCACGTTTTTTCTCTCAATCACTTAACATTTCTCTTGCATATTTTTTTCTTTCCTCTCGTAACTTGGATAAACTGAGTCAAGTAATTGGAATAATCCCATCGCACATCCGACCCTCCTTCCCATGCCACCAAGGACCCTTGGACGTCACCTTCGTCGTGCGAGCTGCCGTTAGATGCCGAGCGAGCCAAGCGGACGATTTTCCCGCCCGTAGGATTTGATCGTCGTCGAGCCCTTCCGAAACCGAACCCGTCTTCTTTCCCCTTTGACGTTTGGTAAATTTATTTTACTAAACTTCAAATCCTTTGGTATAATATGTTATATTTGCTGGTATTATATTTGAACATGTTTAAATGAGATTATTTAGATTAAATGTTATTCAATCTATCATTTCATGTGGAAATGCACATTTTACACTGTTCTGTTGTGCTGCGATTTAATCCATCTAAGACTGGTTATTTGAAGTTGTAACCCTCATGTAAAATTTAGTATGTTGGTTTTCGATATCTAGGCTTTGGAATTTCTCGATTCCGAGCCATATCGAAAAAGTTATGATTTTTACAAGATTTCTGTGCGTCCAGTTTTTCCTGTTTACCCCGCAGCATAAGTATATTTAAATATGACCTATTTTTAATGTCGTAATGTGCTCGTAAGAATTTATGCTCTTCATGAAAGTTATTGATCTATTTCTTACCTTTCAAATGAGATAAATTTCATGTTGATATGTGCTCTATAACTCGAGTTGTGTTCCTATAAAGTTAGACATACATGAGTTGGGACTTATCACTTTGGCAGAAATCTGAAATTTAATGTTAACCGATTTTTCACTATCCAAATGATCTTATATGCTTCTGTGTTCTAAATAAAAATTGTAGATACATGCTTAAGGTTTAATTTGAGACTTAAACTATGTCATTTTGAGGTGTGTAACTCAAGATAATTGATAAAATCTGAGGTGTTGTCCATATTAGTTTTTGACAGTTTTGCTGAATCACAAGTTTTGTGTTTAAAGTTGTTGATAATGTGATTATTTGCCAATATGGACTTCAGAAAAGTTGTATACATTTGCGTTATCTATCATGTGGTTTTTAAATTTCATTGAAAGCATGCATGTAGCTCTAGTTAAATAGTAATTACTGAAGTCTGGTCAGTCCATTTTCCCAGTTTTGGACTGTGACTCAATTTTGAATGTTTGCTGATTTATCACCTGTTAGATGGCCTTATTTGCTTTCGTGTATTCATAAGAATTGTAGATTCATGTCTTAGAATTTCAATGCAACTTGATTCATGTTCATATGAGTTGTGTGCTGAAAGTTATGTCGGTTTTAAAACGCTGCCCGGGTCAAGTTTTCAAAACTTATGTGATAATTTCAGAAATGCGATTCCCTTGATTTAATGCATGCTTAAATGCTTATGTGAACTTAGCTGGACTAAGTAATTGTATAATAGTCTTTGATAAGGCTATTTTAATAAATGTAGGTGCTTGACGAGTTGACCTCGCCGCCTACCCTTATTTTGTATTAATCTCGATTGCTACCAGGTGGGTTCATTTATGTTGAATCTACATTTATCGTACTTGTTATTTCGTATAAATGTTTGTCGCGATAGCTTTTGTATGCGTGAGAACCCTATTCTAAGTGTCCCGACGGTAGTGCCTTTGACGAATGCATAATCAGTAATCACCTGCCCGTTGCATCCGAGAGGTGGACGCTCGAATCCGTGTAGAGCGGAGGCGATTGTATGAACGCTCGAATCCGTTTAGACTGGAGGGGTAATTCAACTTCACTGTCTCCTGGATAAGATCCTATGCCAGTTGCATCCGGGGTGAGAGTGTTTCCAGTTACATCCTTGTCAATGTCTGGTCGGAAGGTTTGTTGTATGTACATAGGAGGTTTGCGATAGGGCCTAATAGGGAGTTAGATCTGGATTCTATGCATACATTATTTATAGTTATGGATCTTTATGCGAAATATACTGTGCGGTAATGGTGAGTATGATGGTTGTACTCACCCCCATTTATTTTTCTATCCTCTTGTTCCTCTTCCTATCTTTTTAGGTTGAGCATGGTTGGCGGCGGTAGCGAGAGACGATCGAGTGGTGGTCGTCGAATTTGTGTGTTATTTGCTTCCACTATTTTTATCTTGATGAACCATTGTTTAACTTGGAATAATTATGCTTCCGCCTTGTCTATTTCAAACATGTTAGTTGAACTGTTGGATTGTGTTGAACCAGTTGGTTGGATTTGGAGTTTATGAATTATTCGGTTTGATTTTATAATTGTTAATTTATGCATGTGTAGGTTCTACCTATTTCTTCGTATTTGTTTAATTGTTATTGATAGTTAACTAGCGCCCGTTGATCTTAAAGTTTTAAATTGGGATATTGCGAAAAATTTACTCTGATTTTTATAAATAAATTCGGTAAATCCTTTAAAATAAAACGAGGCGTTACACTACGTACCCCTTATACTGGGAATCAAAGTCCACGTAGTTCTTTTAAGTTTGAATATTAGGCATTCGTTTTTTAAGGTCGTGATTCATTGTGGATTTCTGTTCTAAGAAATTCGAAAAGTTTACCAATTACAGTTGAAAGCAATAGCATCAATTACACCGATTATACCACGCACACATCCTCCCATTTTGGATGTTGTTTCTGACTCTCTCATACGCCTACAATACAACAATATAGAGATAGTATACACATACAAACTTCAACAAACTTCAAGTACTGAAGAATTTGTATGTTGACATGTGTCATAGAACTCTAACTGCAATATTGTAGACGTATACGAGAGTCAAAAGCAGGATCCACAATGGGAGAATGTGGGCGTGGCATAATTGGTGTAATTGATGTTATTGTTTAAATTTGTGAAGGATGTTTTACAACGGAAACAATTGACGTTAGCGTCGTTTATGGGGTTCTTAAATGTTCAACAATCATCCAACACTACAAGAAAGCTACAGTCTTTTACACACACACTAGAACTATTGGATTATTGTATCAAACTAACGTGAAGTGTGGATGACTCGAATGCGAGCTTACCGGTATATTATTTTGCAATCATTTCTTGGAAAATTGAGTAAGTATTTCGACAATGACTAAATTTGTGTCAAATTTCTCTAATTTGTGCTATAGCAGGTGTATTATAGAGTTGAAAACATAATATATAATGAAGACTATGGGCGAGGCGTCATTAGTGTCAGTGATGTTGGAGCGGGAAATCAGTGGCGAAGATGCCGAGATCCGAATCGTGTGGTGAGCCGTGTTGATCTCCAAATTAACAAACTAACATCAAATGACACTAATGAGGCCACGCCCATAGTCTGTACATATATTAAGTTTTCAACTCTGTAATAAACTTGTTATAGCATAAAGTAGAGAAATATGACACAGAATTAGTCATCCTCGAAATTCTTACATAATTTAAAGTGATGTGAATGCAGAACAATATACCGGTAAGCTTACATTCGATTCATCAACACTTCACTTTAATTTGATATAATAATCCAATATTTTTAGTGGTGTGTGAAAAAGACTGCAACTTTCTTACAGTGTTGGAAGATTGTTGAACATCTAAGAACCCCGTAAACGACGCTAACTGCGATTGTCTCCGTTATAGAACATCCTTCTAGTGATGTAATTTAATTTATTTTAATTGATATTTTAACTTAAGGATTAAGGTGCCTACGTATCCGTAAAATTTGGGAATGAAAGTCCAAGTACTTATTTTAATTTACTTACAGCTCAAGAAATTCCAAAAGTACACCAAATAATGATCAAAGCAATAACATCAATTACGCCAATAATGCCACGGCCACAATCTCCCTTGTAGAACCTGCGTCGCACTCTCTCATACGCCTACAATACAGCAATGGAGACTGTGGCTAAGGCATAATTAGAATAATTAATATTATTGCCTGAATTTCTGAACAATGTTTTCTAAAGGAAAATTAATTCTTGTTATGTTAAGGTATTTTAAAGTTGATATAAAAATAAATAAATAAAAAATTGGACTGAGCTTATGTTGATGGGCGTTTCCGGTCAACGGTTAAAAAGAAAAATAATGAAAAGATAATGAGGAAAGGACAAAGGAACACGATTTAATTATGATTTTATTAACTGATCACGAGGTCGACCTCTCGTACGAGGTCGGCACTTGCGATATACTTACGAATTCTTACACAAATTCCTTACAAGTTTAGAGAGAGAAAGTAGACAGAGAGTCTGAAAGTTGGAGATTCAACAACCAAGAATAAATGCCCAAGACCTCTTTTTATAGGGTTCTTAAATGCAACACTGTTCGGGCACTGTTCTTTGGTCTTGTCGCACAGTAACTCGGCAAGACAGGCCGGCGCTTCTCTGACTGATTGGGCGTGATTTGTGGATTTCCCAATCATTACCTGCAACGCATTTAATGCTGATCTGGGTTGCATTAAATGTGGACATACTCTTTGGCCGAGCTAGACATCCTAGGCTTGCAGGCTAGTCTGGGATGTCCCATCGATAATCATTGATAAACAAGTGGCCTCATTTTTATTATTTCTCAGGTCCTCAACCCTTGTGAAGGTCGGCCTGATGGGATCCCAGGTCGGAGTCCGGCATCCAATCCACCCCTGATCTCCCGGGTTCCATCTTTGTACGGCGTTTAGCCAGGCCGGCACCGTAGCGTGGAGAGAGAGGTGCCGACCTTGGAAACGAGTCGTCCGCCGCTCTCGTTGACTTTAAACTTTGCTCAGCTCGGCACTTCTGAATCAATTAGGTGACCGGCCCCATCGGTCGGGTCGACTTCGGCCGATTCCTGATCCCTTGGATCGGTACCTTTATATAAACCCGACCCGTACAGGCCCCCGAGCTTGGGTGAGGCCTAAGAGCCTTTCCCTAGGTCGTCGTTTATTACTTGAATCCGAGCCGGGTCCGTCGGGATCATATTTGG